TGAAGAACTCGGACTAGTGGAACTCGATACCGATACAATCACGTGACAGCCGCGGGGGGTCCTTCCCTCCGAATGATATTTCTGTGTGGATAAAAAATTCGGTGCACCTCCGGTCGACCCACAATCACGGGAGGAGATAATTGTGATAGCGACGGGTGCAAACGCCAGTCACGATTCGCTTTATGTCGGTTACCAATTTAATCATGACGGCTACTGGCGGACGATGACGAGGCGCCCCCCGATTTTTTCAGAATTTGTTTCTTTTTTCATAAATTTTCATTTAATTTAATTTCTCCAATTTATTTTTACAAAAATGAAAATAATTGGGGAGGTTGGGGTAAAACGGACCCTTTTGATTTTTTTTTAAATGTTAACGAGGGGTTGAAATGTTGATAAAATTCAAGAATTTTTTTTTCAATATAAAGAACAATTCTTCCCCTTTGTGACGAGCCTAAACTGAGCTCAATTGATAAATTTGTTTCTGAGTTATGAATAATTTTGAAAAAGTCTGAAGTGTCCATTTTACCCCACCCTCCCCTAATAATAATTTCTTTCATTTCATTTATTTAATTTAGAAAAAAAAATCGAAGTGTCCGAAGTGTCCATTTTACCCCACCTTCCCCTAATAATTTCTTTCATTGATTTAATTTATTTAATTTAAAAACAAATGGACCAGAACTTCAACAAACAAACAATTTCATTTCCTTACTTTTAATTGATTTTCAATAATTTTTTTTATTAAAAAAAAAGTAAAAACTATTTTTTCCCTTTTTCGAAAAAAAAAGTATTTCGATTGTCGTTCCACGCAGACAATTTTCATCTCCACAAGCCGATGTGGAACTTAAAATGCCTCATAACACGTAATAAACACCGCCTGACCATAATTTTAATCGATACCCTCCCGAATGATTAATCACGCGTTAATAAATGCGTAGAATGCGTTCTCCCTAATTTATGAGTATCTTGTTTTCTCCCTAGTCCCGAATTTTACCGCAACATAGTTGAAATTTTTCCGACAAAACGTCGCGTCGTGAGCATAAAGTTGATCCCCCCGGGTGGTATTAAATCACGATTGGTCGTCGGGACAAAGTGTCGGGAGACGAGGTAAAAGGCATAAACCTTTTACCCGCGAAATAGAAGTGAAAACGCGCGCGGTCAAGTACGTGTTTAGTAAAGCCGTACGAGTTTTTCCGAGGGGAACGACGTCAAGTGGACATCCGGCGGTATGCAAGATGCGCAGAGGCTAAAAGCTACCTGGAGATGGTAGGAAATATTTAGTTCTGCGGA